AATGTTCGAATTTTAGGCTTGAATCGGAAAAAAACTGACGACCGAAAACGACCTGATCTGAAGATGATAGTCACGCGTGCCAACGAAACGTTCGGCGCAAATTCCCAATACTACTAAAAATCTCAAATTTATCACTTCTTTAAGAGTTTTAATGACATTTTTGACTTTTGCTTTCCCCGAATGCGTAACGTAACTCGAAATTGGGCAAAAATATTTTTTCGAACTTTGCCTCGCTCACAACCGAAACATTTTCAGATGTGAAGGTATCAAGTTGGAACCTAGCAACGCATAGTTCATCGTGCGTCTCTCATTGACACACATGTGTGTGAGCGAGATACGAGATAGATACGAAATGCAAGCTACGTTCTGGAATTATTTTTTATTTACATCAAAGTTTCACCAAAAAAAAAAATGTTTGTTAGGTACACGTAATACAGAAAATTAAATAAAATCAAGTTAAGAGTCAATATTTTAAATTAATTCTCTTTGTTCATGCAAAATTTCGAATTTGAAGCCGGCTGAACGAGAACATTAAATATTTAAATCAATCATATTCATAGCGGAAAGTCATTAATTGCTGGAAATGGTGCGAACTTAAAAAAATATGCCGTACATTTGAATAAAATTTACATTATTTGATCACTGACAAGAGTTAATTAATAAAATTCGCTTAATTTCGGAAAAATGAAATAGTTAAGGCTGGTGCTTTCCCATGCATAGGTACATGGCTACATGGCTGAAGATGGTAGCCATGCATGCCAGCGAAACGTTAGGAGCTAAACCAGTTCTTTAATAAATTTTTTCACATTTTATTAATGAGCGCTTTGCACACTTGAACTGATACAATTTTCGTTTTTATTATACAAGGGAATGGCCAAAGACAAAACTTCAAAGCGCCTTAAGAAGAGCTTAGAGTCGATGTTTTTCCTCTTGAAATCCAATTAATCCAGTTGCTTTTAATTTGCGAATCGAAATTTAAGACTCAAGGCTCAATGCGTTCATTTGAACGCAACTTGACACCTAAAATATCCAGTTTATTCCTTAATTTTGCAGATTTTTATTGTCGTTTGCTGTGCCTTCATTGGCCTGGTGCTGGCCGATACGCCAAAATACACGACAAAATACGACAATGTGGATTTAGAGGAAATCATTAAAAGCGACCGCCTGATGAAAAACTACGTAAATTGCCTGTTGGAAAAAGGCAAATGTACTCCCGATGGCGCTGAACTGAAGAGTAAGTTCATGGACTTTAACATGGAAAAACCTTCCAGCCTTTTGCTATGTTAGAATTTGAAGCCCCTCTATTCTTTCCAAAACATTTTTTCATTTTTATCGATCATTAACTATACAAAAACAGATTGAAACCAATCGAAAGACAATGGAAGCTCGATGAGATAATTTAAATCACCTGTTGTTTCGCTACATTGTCTTACGCAAACAAGCATGATTAATTAGGGTGAATCCAATTAAATTTACATAATTACGCATGTTTAATGCAGGAGTGCTACCCGATGCCCTCCACACCGAGTGCTCGAAATGTAGCGACAGTCAGAAAAAGGGCAGTCGAAAAATAATGAGACATTTGATCGACAACAAGCCGGAATGGTGGACAGAACTGGAAAACAAATACGACAAAGAGGGCGCCTACAAGAAGCAATACAGAGAGGAGCTGAAAAAGGACGGCATTAAGTTGTAAATTGTGCCTGTATTAATTATGCCTTGTTCTGTAGTTTAGCTTAGGTGTTTCACTTGGAAATAAATACTGCTAGTTTATCAACGAATATTTTCAATGTTTTATGCAAATAGCAGTTTTTTCTTCAAGACCATAACAAAAATATTTAAATCACTGACGCAAAACATTTTATAGCTTCTTCTGAAACGCTCCCATTAAGCATTCGCTGCACCATAATGATGTGGATTTCAAACGTTCTGGTTGTTATCGTCCAGCAAACCACTTTGGATTCCGGTTTTGCACAGAAAAAACAATTCGTAATGGCTTTGAGCCCATAAGCAAGAAAATGTGACGGTTTTATAATCTACCATTTCCAGATATGGTACTTTGAATAATAACTTCTAGTTTTGCTAACAAGATTCAAGGCTGGTAGTCTGGTTTTGCAGCAAGTTGGACTAAAAAGCGATGGAAATCTTGATGTTATATTTAACTCCTAATCAAAATCAATTCCTGGGCTTCAGTCATTTATTGTCTATTTATCAATTAAAATACGTTTCGGTGTTTTCCACCATCATCAGTTTCTATGTGT